CTTCTGAAAAGAGTTTCTTTCTTTTTGGTGTAAGCGATTCGCCAATATAAACTTCGGTATCTGATGTGATGTTTAAATTGGGAAGATCTTTGGCTCTCTTTCTAGCTAGGTTCTTTCTATTCTCATAGAATGCATTTCTGATTTTCCTGCGCTTGAATTTAACTATTAGTTTTGGCGGAGACCTTGAACTTGGAATTGGGTGTGCAATTGAGATATCTTCTGTATGGACATGTACACCTATAGCTTGTCCCACTGCTTCGACAATCTCTTCTGCCGTGTTCTCTTCGTCCGCCTTTATGCCTGTTATTTCAAGACAATCTCTTCGTATGCACTGAGCTAATTCCTCTACTTGATCTTGGGCTTCTACTGCTCGGCTGTCTATAACCTTTAGATCTTGTTTGATGAGCACAATATCTTTTGTAAGGTCTCGGTTGGTAGAGTTCGAAGTCTTAGTATTTTCTAATAACTCGTCGTAATTCTGTGACAAAAAAATGAACGGTTTTGAAAATTTCTTCGTATTTCGTAAAGATTTCCTCTATCTTTCGAGTATAGGGTAGTAGTTCTTTTTGAATAAAGTCTTTAACCTCATCAGAGTTAGTCATACTGCAGTCAGTTAGAAGGAGCTCTAAAACGAACCTCCTACCATAACGACATATGCAAATTAATCATTCGTTACATGACAATGGTAACATCAACAGTAACTTTAAATATCATACCTCGCAGCAAAGGCGACAACCAGGATGGAGACAAGGTATTCCCTAAGATCTCGAGCTTCATTGATCGACGAAATCTTAGGGACTTTGCCCAGCCTATAGTCGAGGTGAGCGGACAACACAGCTCTTGCCGTAACTAGATTCCAGGATGGCTTTCACCTTAACACACACACACAAAAATAAAGATCAGTTAATTTGTGAATTAACTTCTTCAAGGGAGATCTGGAATTTTTTGCTTGTTCCTCTGGCTGGCGCAGTCCTTTCGCAGGGTTTTGCGCCAAGCCAGCTGCATTGCTCTTAGTTTTGTTATGCTTGTCTATAGAAAGAAAAATAATGATTGAGCGGTAGTCAATTCTCAAGACATTGCATCTTACTTCTACATTTACCGTCTCCTCGAAGTTCAGGTGCGTCATGTGTGAATCCAACACCCAATCCAGGAAGACTTCTAAAGATCTCAAGTATACTTTCAGCGTGGTGCCCGCTTCCTTTTTTGGCGTGCCATTTCTGTTACACTTCATCGACGTCACCGAAGCACTCCTTGAGGCTGGGGTTCTGGGATCGTGATACCACTTGTCCAATGTTTAGCACCTGAAAGGGAACGTTAGACCTCGATTCTACTCTAACCTTCAAAGTAGCGAAAAATGTGGGTGAGATACCTTGGCCACGTCTTGCTTGGCTTGATCTTCAATCGTGTCGCCACCGTGTGTTAAGTGAACAGAACGTATAGATATACAGTATTCATTCAAAGTTCTTGATAACGAGGTAGCTAAATTTTTTTTTAGTTTTTTGTTTTAGTCTTGAATAACAATAGACCCGTTTCGAATTCCAAATTACCGCTGTGTTTCTTGATTACAGACTCATTTGCACAGGGTTAGCCTCGACTTTGCGTAGAATATTCACGTGTTCCAGTCAAGGTCCGTCGAGTTTCAAAGTGTTTGTATTGTTGAAGTTGTGCATTCTTTACTTTATCGTTGGTATTTGTGAATATTTAAACACTGATACGAGGCTAACCCTGTGCAAATGAGTCTGTAATCAAGAAACACAGCGGTAATTTGGAATTCGAAACTGGTCTATTATGATACAACTAATATAACTGATGTAAGTTTTTGCGTCCGTAATGTTCTATTTTTCCATTTTTATTTTTCAGTCGAAGTTTTTTATGACAATGTTGGTGATGACCTTTGTTTTTGAATTATATGCAAGTTGGACGTCTGGTATAATAAGCACAATTTTTGTTATTTGGCTTTCTTTCTCAATAGTTGTTTTACTTTCACTGCGTGAAAAACTGCGTGTCATGGACCATAAACTCTCATATTCGCACGTGTATTTTCATTGTATACGCTAAAATACGGGCGTATCGGGCATCATATACGCCAAATGTCATAGCGTGTCAGGCGAAGGATTTTCTTGGATTCGCACCATATAGTGCGAATATTGCAATTTCCGATATCAGGATACGCTTAAGATACGTGGAGTGTCAGCTTTGTTATACTTACTTTATACTCTCGTATACTTTGCAAGTACGAAAGCTGATTTTTTAAAATCAAAGCTGATTGCTAGCCAATTCAAAATAGTATTTTTGTCTTATATAAATACTATCGGCTATTTACTGTATTTGACATTTCGTGTTTCTCGAAGTGTTGTGGAATATAAGAGGTAAAAGAAACAGTACTTACCTGAAGGTTTYATTTGGACAAAATGTTATTACATTCTTCCTCTTTCGGTTGAGGAAGAAGAGTTGCATTTTATCTTCAAGTAACATATGAATTGGTTTTAATCAATGACCCGCATTCTAAAACGAGAATTAGACGCCATTTTGAGTATCTAATTTAACCGTTCTGATTGGCCTAAATCAAACCAGCATGCTTTGCGCACCCTTGCCCAACATAAGGGAGGCGTGGTTGGGGATTGGGTGATCTCTGTATGCCTAAATTTTGCTTACTATGTCTCCGCCATATTGACATGAAACATGCAACATGTCAAAGCCCGTGACCAGTAGAAGGTTACTTGGACAGTTATGAGTAGTCACGTGGTCATGTGCATGCGCATCAAGGGCTTAATTGATACAATTTAGTATGCCTAGCTTACCACATCTCTGGAACCCGTGGGCCTCCTGACATGAAACAAGTACCATATTAAAGCACTTGTCCATTAGGGGTTTACTTTTACAGTTATTGGTAGTCATGTGGACATGCACATGAGTAGTATAGGGGATGGGGGTTCCAGCGCAACGACCACCGGAGGATTACCCGTCTAAAGTGAATTCCTCGATTCGTACCG